CAAAGCAACGCAAAAAAGCAAAAATAAGAGTGAAAATTTTCAAGACGGACGATACTTCCAGCAATTATGATCACATCAAATGCAGAATAATCAAAATCAGTACTTCTAGAATGAAGATAGTAAGATGTGAACTTCCATGATATCTAAACAAAACAAATCTGGTCCCATGACACTCGAGCAGATAAATCACGGCAGGTTAAAGTTGCAACTTCTCTCAACTTTTTTTTACTCAAAACCATGAAACCAATTGAACCAAGAACTTATTTTTCGAAGTCTCACTGGTGTCCGCGAGTTGCCTTTGGAGATTATCTACGACGGGTTCGGTGAATTCCTCAATCTGCAAAGCGTATAGTAGAGAAGAACAAAATAGAGAGTAGCAGCAGAATAGAACAAGAGAGCGCGAGTGAAAAACAAAACGAAAACTATGTGAGAGCGGTGCGAACGAGTAAAATGAAGAATGCGGATTTCAAAGCCCCGTGGTTCGAGCCTTGATGTGTTCGCAAAATTTCGAGCACTACCATATCCCAATATTTTCAACGGTTTTCAGAGCCGTGCATTCAGCGCATAAGGTTCAGAAAAATCCCCTGTATCTTCTCTTAGAGGAAGCGCTTTGGGGGGGGGGGCAACTGCTACTGTGAAGAGAGGAAGGATGGCTCAGTAGAATAGTTTAAAAAAAGGCTTTTGTTTGAGCCTTTTGAAGGTAAGTTAATGGGGTGTGGTACCTCCCCCCCCCCTAAAAGCTGTGGCAGCCACAGCTTTTTTGAGGGGGGGGGGGCACACCCCATTAACTTACCTTCAAAAGGATTTTTTTTAGAATTTTTATACATGGAATGGAAGGTGAAACTTCGTACTACACACAGTAGAAATTTGAGCTGGATTGTTATTGTTTAGGATAAATAATGGTTGATGAGAGCGCAAGTATTGAAATTTGTAAGTGGGACTTGACATTCTTCTGATTCCACAGCTTGGAGGTTTCTTGAAGTGGGATTTCTCATGCAAGGTAAGAAGGGTAGTGCTTTGTATTGAGTGCAAGAAGAGATAGCTTACTCACCTTTAAAATGAAGTTAATCACGTTTGAAGTTACTGCTTTATACAAGCTCGTTTACTACTCGGAGACCTCAGAGTTCGCTGAAACTTGGCGCATAGGGGTTATTCGACATGGTGACTACGACAATTATACTTGATCAGCGGTACGGTAGGTTACGGAAGGCATACGGTATCTGCAAGTTAGTGTCATTAAATTTGAATTTTGCAGGACTTCAACAGCGCTTTAATTAGGTCGATTTAGTTACATAGCTTGTACAGCGAGACTAGATCTCTTCTCTTCTGCATTGCATCTCTCATTCAAATAAGATTTCTTCAAACACAACCCGCTGTGTAAACGGCGACACAGAACGAAATTCGCGAAGATTTCCAATACCAACACAGTCACTGTACTAATGCATCGTCATCATCATTATTATTGCCACTAGCATGGAAAAGATAGAATTTCTGCTGTTTCTTCTAAGAACGCTCGCTAAAAAAATTACTTCACTATCGCGGAGGCAAACGGAACAGTGGCTCGAAGAGCACAGGAGAAGTTTTGCCGCCCGACATGAGGGCCATACGTCAATTCGTTGTCGTTTACAAAGTAGCGGCATTATTGGAACTGTTATCTGAAAGGCCGGTAGAACAAATGAGACTCCGGTCCCTTTCCCGATTGTGTGAACGACTTTTTGAAGTAGCCACAGGTGCGTTTAATGGAGCTTCTGGGGGTGTTCAGGGAGTGTTTGCCAAACTGAAAGACATGATCGCCGAGGAGACCGAAGCTGATCTTTATCCTAGAAACAATATATTTTCTGATAATTTCTGTTTGCATGGCCCATAAATTGAATCTGGCTGCAAGGGCCCAGAAAAGTCCACTGTTCAAACTTGCACAAGCCATTGTTATGGACTCATACCATCTATTTGGATCTACTGTGAGAACAACCGGCAAGAGTGCATACAAGAAAGCTGCACAAAAAATGTGCTTCCCAGACTTGCAGATGAGGGCTCTTTTCACAGTGAGATGGTCAGCTAGTTTTGCCAATTCACTCTCCAATATACTTCACGTTTACCCTGTGATTCTACAGGCGCTGACGGCTATACGAGATAACAAACGTTTTGGCAGCAGCCTCATAAAAAGAGCTACTTCGACATTTCATGTGCTTTCGGATGCGAGGACATACATAGATTTACATCATGCCGACACCACTATGCATGAACTTTCTGTGTTGTCGCAATATATGCAGCGCGAGGAAGAGCTACTTGTTGACAACCTACAAAAGTGGAGAGCTCTTGTCTACAGCATAGCACAACAAAGTTTACTCGAAAAAACGGCAAAAAACTTACTTGAGCGAGGAGTCATCAAGGGCTACGTTAATGACAAAATAGAACGCATCTATATGGACTTCCTCAACAAATTACCCTAACAAAGATGACAGACGCCTTTTAGCATACAATTCTCAAGCGTTCGCAGATGTTTCACTTGACCGCTGCTCAGAGGGCGATGACGAAGAGCGGCAACGACTTTTGGACTGGCATCTATTCAGAGACTTGGCTCGCACCACAACCTACGAAGAAAGCCCACCGGACCTAGACGTTCCCGAAACTTTTGGCCTTGAAGACGCCAGAAATTAGTGAAGGTGACTTAAGGCACTATAGTTTAGCAAAGCGTTATGAAGATTTTGTCTGGAACGATGCTGTATATCCTTGCATTATACGTTTCTACAACGACATGAAGCAGGCATTTTATGCTTAGCTCGTAAATAAGCCTAATGATTTTAGTAATATTGATCTACTAGCATTGGATAAGCACAATTTACTGGATATATTAGGTCGTTCCGAAAGTAATGTCGCCTTTTTCAGAGATCTTAGGAGCATTCGAAACATCATTTTATTCTCTTTCTAAAGGTTGTATTTTCACTGCATAATACTCAATGAGCCCTCGAGAAATTACCAAAACCTGCGACTCATGCTTTTTGCCATGGTCAAGTTTGGCTATTTTTCCAAATTTTTGTACCTATTCTCCGAAGTAGCACAAGTGGCAGGTAGATAGAGCAAACCCAACAGGACACAGTTAATTTTTTTCCTTAGCTTGCTTCTTATACTTTCTGGAACCAATTTTTCAATGCCATCAAATTCCATATTTAGTCAACTAAAACCTCACAGAACAACAATCGGCAAGCAGCTCGGGTGTCATTTGATGCAGCTTTTTCTCCTTTTTCCAATAGCTGTTTTTTGTTTCCGATTCATCAAGTTTTCCTGGATAAAACCATCATAATTCAGGTTTTCCAGGGCGCCCCATGCTGTACCCGGAATTTTCGGAAGTTGCTAATCTGAAGCCGTAAACGCTCATTTTTGTAAAATTAGTGTCAAAGCATAATCTATGTTTGTAAGTTTCAAAATCCGAAGATTTACTGGTGTTTGATGCATTTTTGTCTAGACGAGCCTGCTAAAACTCGGTGGTTCTATCAAAAAATCTATACAAAAATTATGACGAGCTCTGGAAAGTAGAAAAAGTTGTGCTCTTTTCTGTAGGGTTTGCTCTATCCATCCACTACTTAAACTCCTTCCGAGGGTTGTTATAAAAACTTAGAAAAGTCTTGAAACTTGGCCTTCTCAAAAAGCATGGGTCGCAAATTTTGATGATTTTTCGAGAGATTATTGGATTTTGCAGTGATTATATAACCTTAGAAAGAGAATGAAATGCTGCATCATATGTTACCAAAATCACTTACATAACCTCGTTCCACGAGGTGTGGTGTACGTTTGAAAAAAGCGACATTAATTTCGGAACGACCTAATAATTGAATTTAACGGAGATTTCAAAAATGGCTTTGTTGACTATGTACCGACAGACGCAAACTTTTTCAACAGAGGATGCCCGAGCTATTAGGTTGATGCATAATTCCTGCACCAAAATAGCTACAGACCGCAGTAATCTGGTAAAATCCTATATCCAAATAGGATTCGATACATTATTAGATAGAGCAAACCTAGCTTTACAAGACAGTGCTCAAAAATCTGCACCAGCTTTGATCCACGCGAAATTTTGAGCCGAAAACTGAAAAAACCATGCGTTTGAGAATCTTAGGACCAATCAAAACAGAATTGTAACTTTGTTCAAAAAGCTCCTACAAAATTTCTTTCTTGCTCACGCGTAGACATTCCACGTAAGACATTTATCTGGTTGCTGTATTTTTTTCCCAGCTAGACGATGAGAAAACAAAGTTTTCCATGCTTTCGCCAAATCAGTGCTGCGATGTTCTAGCACTGACATTTGTATACTATAGGTTTTTAGAAGCGTGACTGTGAATTTTCAGCTCTTTACAGCAGCTGCTTTACGAGAAATATTGAATTTATAGCAACTAGGCAAGAAAAATTTGGATAAGAAGAGCTACATTCGTCATTTCTCGTGAACTAGCAGCTTTAGAAGGCTGAAAATGTAAAGTTTTACTACTAACGGCATGTACTATACAATTGTTAGTGCTAGAACATCTCAGCACTGATTTGCCAAAAACATGAAAAACTTCGTTTTCTCATCGTTCAGCTAAAAAATACAGCAGCCGCATAGATAAATGTCTTACGCGGAGTGTCTACGCGTGAGCAAAAAAGAAATTTTGTAGGAGCTTTTTGAACGAAGTTACAATTTTGTTTTGATTGTTCTTAAGGTTTTCGAACGCATGGTTTTTTCAGTTTTCGGCTCAAAACTTCGCGTGAATCAAAGCTGGTGCAGATTTTTGAGCACTGTCTTGTAGAGCTAGGTTTGCTCTATCTAATAATATATCGAACTTTATTTGGGATATAAAATTTTACCAGATTATTACGGTCTGTAGTTATTTTGGTGCAGGAATTATGCATCAACCTAATGTTTTATTATAGGAGCCGACATACTTGATCCAAATCTTCGTCAAAAGCAAATTTTGGACTCCATTGAAGTACTTTGTCAGCTCTGTAACATCTCTGTCCTCAAGGATAGCATGATTCGCTTTTATAATACTATACCTGCGTCAGCGCAAAGGTTCTCAAAGTGGGAATCAAACTTCAGAGATTATTCAGGTAGTTTATCGTTTTATCGAACGCTGCTACAGTACAGTAAGGAGCTGCATGTCCCGAATGAGGCCCGGCAGGTACTACATTTGCCGTCCTCTTTGGCTGCTGCAAAGCTTTTTTTAGGCCATAAAAAACATTCTCATCCTCCCAGCAAGCAACGCCGATCCCGAGCGCAGTTTCTCTGCTGCTAACAGGCTCTCTAGAGAGGAAAGGAGTAACATAAAGACGGAGTCTCCAGACAACATCATGACGTAAGCCCTGTTGCTGTAAATATGCTGCAACATCATTACATGTTTTAGAGTGCAGCGTAATGGGCTTAGCATCCTAACAGTTAAACTTCAACAGATAGCACCCCAATGGATGCATCCTGCACCGGGACTTGGGTTGGATCCGGGTATGCCATCGAATCTAGCTAGAGAAGGCAGCCTCTGAAAGCAGTAAAAGAAAATCTTGCAAAAGGTCGGATTCACTTTACATTTCAAAGTTCAGACCATTCTAAGCATCTAGGAGATGCATATGAGTTAGCCAAACTCCATGTAAGACGCCACATGGTGGTTCACTGCCTAAATGCCCGAAAGGACACAGATGAAATAGAACAGGCTGTTGCAAGAAGAACTTGCTGAAATGAACATTTCTCATTCGGATCTTCTAAGAAAACAGACTGAACTTCGCCTCATAAATCACTGTTCATTTTCTCATATTAGCGTATGCACTTGATAAAGGTATTTTCAAAAGGACATTCTTCACAGAAACCACAAGAACAATGCGCGTATGTTCCTCTTCTTCGACACAAGTCATTTAAATGTATCGTGCATTTGTATTGACGAAATCTTCACTTTCCCACACATAACTCGTCGGTGGTCACACCATCATCCATTCACTGCAAAAGCTAAAGTACCTAAACCAAAAGTCCATTTAGTATTTCTCTCAATTATGTTGGCTGAATTGTCAGAGGTAGTTGAAGAGTGTGGCACATCTAAAAATTTAGTTACAGTGCTTTTCGCTCAAAAACCGCTTTTGACCTTGGGTCGGCACGACCCCCCTTACCTACCCCCCCTTACGACTCCCTGGTGTGGCGTGCCACACCTTCCGCTTTACCCTGATTGTGAAGTTGACATTGTTTATAAGCTGATGTGCACAAAGGTAAACTGTCAATATCCCAGTTGTAATACTACAATATTCTTTAAGCTGTCGACCAAGATTGGTAGCAGGACTTTATTACGCGATAAGCCAACGTTGGCGTTCCGTCCGCCTTCATCGGGGTTTCCTGAAAGATTGAAACTTTGAGAGCTGCCAGCTCAGCTGTCCGCTATACACATTTACTAAAGCATGTGCCTGCACATCTTTCAAATACTAGAATGTTTTTGTCATTGGAGAATGTGCGATTAAGACCTTGTCACTTGTTGTACACATATGTCTCCGAGATGCTAAGGAAGCCGTGTATGAGCTATTCTCGGAAAACCAATCTGCTCACAACATGTATGGGTTCAGTGTTGGGCAAATCATGACACTTTCGAAAAAGGAATTGCAGCATATTCCGCTTTAAAAAGGTATTACAAGCAGGTACGTGGCCTAGCGATGGGGCAAAAACTGGCTCCGTCGTCGGAATCGCCTTCATGTCAAAAATCGAAAAACCCGTACTTGCTCGTAAGCCCTTGCTTTTTTATGGATACATTGACGACTGCTGCATCACATGTCCAACTCAAAGTGAAGCCTTTGAGTTGGACATGTGATGCATATGCTGTGATGTATATGCTTTGATATTCTGAATAACCAATCCCCTAACATAAGAGTCATGCGGGATAAACCCGACGAAAATTGGCTAGCATTCCCAAACGGTTTTTATCTTACGGATCATATGTAACTAAATGGTCCCGCAAACGAGTTAGTAAGAATATGTTTTTTCACTATAGCTTTGCGTAGCCTTGGAGCATGAAACGGTTTGTGATAGGCAACATGTTCAAGACAGCAAAATCGATCTCAACCAACGTTGAACAGCGCAATCCATCAATGAACCTCGCCAGAGAGATTGCATCTTCTAACAACTATCCCGCAAAAGGTGCACCAAGCATACCTGTAGGCACAGGAGACAGGAGAGACCGACGGACTCTTGTGCACAAGAATCACAGGGCATCTTGCCGGCCTTGAAAAATCCAAAATGTCCACACTTTTGGGTGCACGTCGAAGGTTATGTCACGAAAACCAGTATTTTCAAATCACTGTTACAATCTTGTCGCACGAATTCGAGTTAGTAGCCCGCAAAACATTGGAGGCCTTTTGAATAGCGTCTAAACTACCAAAAATGAACCGCAAACATATAGGCATTGCCATAAACAGCGAACCGTTCCTCTATTAAACACTATGCGGATTCTGATACAAAATTTTCTACAATTATGTAGAAGGCCTCCAAGCTCGATTATTGATAAATCTTAGCATGATATGGATATTCGTATATGTTTACTCTAACCAATCACCAAGATTGCAACACGATTTATTCAGTGGCGCGATTTATTCAGTTAGGGTTCGGGTGCTTTTACCTTTGTCAGACTCTGGAAGGTCGTAGACATCGCTTTGTTCTCCCAAACACCTCGTTCAAGCCAAGGCAAGATTCAGCATCAGGTCATGAAAGCCGTGACGGAAACCGTCGCCCATGCTCACCTTGGCAGTCTTCTAGTCGGGGTTGAGCGACCACCAAACAGCGTCTGCACAGTCAGTAGTAGAGAACAGTACAAGTGCCTTATATAGATGAATCTAACCTCAGTGTAGATCAAATCCGCAAAAAAATTGATATTCAATTAGATAACAATTCTTGACAAAGCCCTCTTCCTTGCGGTTCATTGTAGGAGCTTTGGATGTTATCCAAAATACTTCTAGCGTTTAACGAATTACTACGGGCTCACGCGTTAAGATTGTGACACTATATTAAATTGCTGCTCCGAGTGATCCTCTCTGCGATGTGCGTCTAGTCGGTGTGGGAGTTTTAGAATAAGGCCATCTAGGTGCTCTTGGATTCTTACACAAAAAGGCTTGCCAGTTTCTCCTATGTATTCTTTCCCGGAAGTTTGACAACTTATTTTATAAACTATTCCTGCCTCCATGCAATCGCCTGGTTGACCACATGGGCATACGACGTCGGTACTCTTGCATAGTCGATCGTGAGAGCAATTACGAATTAGTTGTTTTCTAAGACTAGGAGGCGGAATATCTACAAGTCTGACGGAGTCTTTGAGGCCTGCATGTTCTGGGCTTTTTCTTATCGCTCTGCTGAATTCTTCAGATAAAAAAGGAACACAGAAAGGTATTTTTGCTTCAATCTTGCTTGTGCGCGGTCTGTATTCTTGCCAGGTACGTTTCGATAAATGGTTTGTTTTTAAGCATTGGACTGTGCAATCTGTCTGGCAAGACTCAGCAATGTAGCGCGCTCTTGATCGGAAGAAACTGTCCTGGCAGTCCTAAACATATTATAGATTATACCGACCTTTTTGTGCTCCAAGGGTGGGCCGAGAGATAGTGTATCAATATATTATTGCTACTTGGTTCTTGAAACCACTTGGTCTTTTATGATTCATCACGCAACTGCACTTGCACGTTGAGAAATGGCAGCCAGTTTTCGCTGGGCTTCTCTCGTGTAAAGTTTATATTAGGGGATTGGTTGTTTAGCAAATTGAAGCAAGTGTCTAACTCGTCTTATGTCGCGCACACTATACATTAATCGTCTATATAGCGGCAATAAAGTATTGGTTTGCGCGCAAGTACGGGGCTCTCGATTTTTGACATATAGGCAATGGCAACGACTGGTGTCAGCCTTTGGCCCATCGCTAATCGCCTGATTTGCTTATAGTACTGCCCACACCGTCGATATATGCTGTAGTTAAGGCATCCTTTCAAAAGTACCATCATCTGCCGGATATCAAAGCCGTATATGTTGATGGACCAAGGTGTTCGCATATCTCGTAAACCGCTTCCATAGCCGCTTCGTTCGATATGTTTGTATATAATGAAGTGATATCGAATAATTCGATGACACATCCTATATTTAGCGGTGCTTAACTTGGTCAAGAAACATGCTCGTATTTGTTAGATGTAAATTAATAATCTATAATTTATATTCATGTAAAGGGCATTCTTAACGCTGACTATAATACTCGCTCATAGCGCAGCTGCAGCGCAGTCTGGTTGTTCGGTCTTATATCCCAATCCAAGGCTGAAGTCATGTTTTCGACATCTACTCTGCCACTCCATCAGCTAAACTGAATCTAATGCCAAAGAGGGCGTTTGAGCAAGCAGTTCTCAAAGTCTCTATCTTTCAAGAAGCCCTGAGGAAATCGGACGGACCCCCGAAACGTTGGCTTATCGCGTAATAGAGTCTGCTACAAACTTTGTTAGAAGCTTAAAGGCTGTATTACAACTTAAATCACAATGCCAAGATTTATTACAGCCGAGCACGAAATATCAATGTCCTCATGCAACTATGCCGCACCGACAATTGGAGCTAACTTTCCGGCTATTTCTCCGACTTTCATTCCTCCTTCTACAACGACTTTGGCCCCCTTTCCAATCTTTTTGAAAACGTTTTTGATCCCTCTTCCAATTTTCTTGAGAAAATCGAAAAATCCGCATTCACCAACATCCACAGCAGAGAGAATCTGTAAGCATCAAAGTAATGTGCAGTCAGTAAGTCTAAGGAGTAATATCGCAAACTAAGTCATGTCTTGTTTGGTCAACCTACCACCAAGATGGTAAGTAACAAGAAGGTAAGTTTGAAAATCCTCATTATTGTCGAACTGACGTAAAGTCTCTGGGAAAAATTATATTGAGAAAGTAAGCAGTACATCGAGCATTTGATAAAACGACGAACAAACGAAACTTCTTCGACATAATTTGACAGAGAAACAGATGAGGGTAGGGGAATATATGTCTACGGAAATGGGAGATCCCGCCGGACATCTGCGACAAACACACCTTTTTAATACATGCACAGGCTGAGTATCTATTGCATTGTCCGCGCGGCACCCTCCCACTTTTGGCGACGTATGGTCCTCTACGCAAACAACTAATTTTCTGAGTGCAAGAGAAATTACAAGATTACAATAATCTTGATTTTTCTGCTATGTAATTCCTAGGCATTTGTAAGAGACAATGTTGCAAATTAAGTCCAAAATAAACCTCATAAGGTTGTGCACGATATGCACAACTCTGCCATCAACTACTTCTGTTTAACTGTAAATTCATCAGCTTTCTTCTCTGAAACAAGAAATATCGGTAATTGCCTTTTCAGAAGAGAAGCAAAAAAAGCTTGCGTTTGATCATTTTTTACCCAAAAGTTCTCGGTTGCTAATATCTTCCCTTAGCTTTGCAAAGCTATAGACCATTAACTGGGTAGTTTTTGAGCCACAGCAGACCTTAGCAACTTTTGATCAATTTTGCCTGGACATGCTTGTTCACAAAAGGAGGAATTGAACGAAATGAAAACAAGATGATAGACAGTAACTAAACGTTGGGAAGTTCTTAATATTGTCATAATCTTTTCAATTGAGATTACTCTATCAAAAGAGTTGCTTGGAAGCAGTACACAAAAGTTTTGTCTTTATCCAAACCAACCTTTCTAATCTGCGATGACGGACTATGGAAAAAAGACGTTAAAAAGGCCCAATTTTGGCAAACATTCAGGGGCGTTAGTTATTAGTTAGAGCATGCTGATCACCCCCACGGGGGTGATCAGCATGCTCGATTACCCCCCCCCCCTGTGCCAAATCCCAGCCCCGTAGCTCAAACTTTGCAAAAAAATCGATAAAATCGATATAAGTAATGCATGATTTTAGAAACTAATATTGTGTCGTCAACGACGACCAAGTGATCCATAATCAATGTATATAATTTAGATAGATTGTCGATTGTTTAACCTATGTATCAAGTATTTGTTCATGTATTTGAATTAATTTTGTTCTTTAGAATCATACATTTCTCAAGTATGCGTTGTTTTGCTTTGTAACGTTTATCATATCATCTATGTTTCTTTTCGCTTAAAATATATTTTGAGATTCAACTTTTATCTGATATTCATTTGTATAAATAGAGCTCACACTGCCGTAAGATCATGCTTCCTCAAGTGACAAGTCTCGCAAGAACCTCAAGATCCACTTCAAGTCAAGTTCAAGTTTTTCGCAGAAGGAAGAAGAAGAACATCGGAGTGTGAGCAGGAAGACAGAAGACTGTATATGCAGATTTGAACAATAAACCTATTTGTGAGCCCGTTTCCAACCACAGCTTATAGTCCCGCGTGGCAACGAGCAAGTGAAACACGAGTCCTAGCGAAGAAAAGGAACTTTTTTCTACATATTGTATTCGGAATCCCCATGCTCACTTACCCCCCTGTGCCAACTCCCAGCCCCGTAGCTCAAATTTTGCAAAAAATCGATAAAATCGATATCGATCGATACGAAAAGTAGCCTATGACACCCGCCGGGGCCCGAAGTGTATGTGTGCCAAGTTTGGTCTCGATCGGTTCAGAAATGGAATTTTCTATTTGGAACATACGTACATACAGACAGACATACAGACATACAGACAAACAGACATTCAGCTTTATATATAAGATTATGCATTGGAAATTTAGTGATTCCCCGCATTTGACCGCATTCAAATCTATGAAATCACTGGAGCTCTGATGCATGATGTGCTATAAGATCCAACTTGAGAGTGCAGGACAGTGGCGTACCCAGGATTTCGGCTCGGGGGGGGGCGACAAAAATTTTTTTCTAAAGAAGACGCGTGGCGTTAGCCACGCACTCCGAAAAAATTTTTGGGGTGCTTCTCAAAACTTTTGCGGGTCCTCGACCCCAAAATTTTAGAAAAGGGGGCGTGGCTGAAGCCACGCCCCCGAAAAAATTTTTTTATGAAGCTAAATTAAATTTTTAAAAAATTTTAAAATTTATTTTAATTACTTACAAGTATAAATAAGTCTTTTGCACATTTTTATAACCCATATAAGTGACTTTCAAAAATTTCGCGACCCATTCTCGGGGGTGGGGGGCGCCCCCCCCCGCCCCCCCTCGGTACGCCACTGGTGCAGGATTAGCAAGATATTTAGTGTACTGATTTTGAGAGATGCTCACATCTACCAGAGACGCAGATAAGTGTTTTTGAACAACTAGTTCTCAAGGATGTGGCCCTGAATGTTTGCCAAATTTGAATCTTTGAACGATTATAATAACTTTTTCCAGAAAACGGTATTGCAGATAGCGAAGGCAGACTTGAAATAAGCTCATCAAGACGCAACTAACGATATGCGGTTCAATCGAAATGGCCGCCTTAAGTTGGTGGCCGTTTTCTTGTTAGACTACTGTACGAGCGAATTTCCGATCGCTGGTGCAGAATAACGGTTGAAACTTCCAGAAGTATTTTGGAACATAGACAACCATATTTTGCCTCGGAAAAGAAACGAAACAAATGAATTCTACACTAAATTAATCAAGGTTCGCAAATTCTAGATATGGAATGCACTTCACTGTAATGCTTGATTAATGCAAAGCATTCTCCAGTAGCAATTGTCTTTTCAACTCAGAATGTGGTCATTTCCTTGAGAGCGCTCAAAAAGCTCGCAAAAATGTGTAGTAAAATCAGCAAGCGTGAAAACCCTATTACGCAAATTCCGCACTTTTAAGATACATTTGGCAGCTGCTTTTTTCACGGTGATTCTATTAAGTTGTCTCAAAAGTACCATTTTCAAATGAATTGAGCTGTTTTCTTTTTCCTAGCAGACTTAGGGTACCTTTCGATAGATTGAAGCAAGCTCTACAAAAACACCACCACCATACACTTAAGTCGTAATCCAGACAAAATTTGGGGCCAAAAGGCAAATTTCTTCAGCTACTTTAAAAATCGGATCTCCTTCTAAAATTTCCATGGACTTCGAACTTGGTTTCTGTATAATTGACACATAATTATCCAAAAATGTATTTGGTGGACTTTTTCCAGGGCTCAAAGTTGAGAAACAAAGGGTGTGAAAATGGCAAAATGTGCATATTTTCAATTTTTTCAAGTAAAACTTGGTATTTTTCAAATATAAAAGCACACACAGGAGTAAAGTTTTACAATCATACTAATTAAGGCTTGTAGTATACAATGACATATGTGGGAGCAGCTGGGGGGAGGGGGGAGAGGGGGGGGAAAGATGGAGTTGCCATTTTTGAAGTATCTTTTTTTTCGCTTCCACGGATGAAATCCAGTACATATTTGAGACTACTATGTGCCTACTGTGTAATGATTAAGTTGAAGGTCCCTAAGACAGTTCCCGGCACGAGGTTGTCAAATGACAAGCTGGAAATCGTTGTCGGCAAAAAAGCAAAGGGGAAAGGGTTTTGCGGGGTCCGGAGCGGAGCCCCGGAAAAAATTGTTAGTTTATGCTCTTTGCGTATCTTAACATGTTATGTGCCTCAACAGGCGAACACGGGAGTTCGCGCGCGTTAAACCGCGCCGTCGCTAATTGCCGCACGCGCGACGTCGCTCAAACGATGCAGTTTGTAACAGTACACATGAGTAGTCCTCAATGTATGTAACGACATGGAACCAAATTTGTAAGCGAACGGAGAGAAGCTAGCTACTGGGAATATGTGAACGGAACGAGTAATAAGCATTTTTTCCGAAAATTCTGCAAAATTAATAAGTGAGGATGTGAATTCAAATGGCTCGTTTGCAACGCGCAAATGACGATATGGTATGAAACTTGGTACGTACGTGGACACGATCCTGCAGGAGTTAACTTAGGAATTTCATTGAAAAATTATGTGACTGAGGGGTGTGTGTGTGCCACAACACAAATTATGTGTTGTGGCAAACTTTTTTCTAAAAATTTTCCGCTACCAGAAAAATGGAAAAATGGCTCGTTTGCAACGCAGAGGTGAAGAAATCGCGCTGGATTTGGTGTATATGCGCAGTAGGACCAAGTAACAAAGTCTGAAAAATTATGAAAAACTTATGTGAATAAAGAGCGTGCCCAACTTATTTCCAAATTAGGTTGTCATTTGACAACTTAATGACAACCTGAGGTTGTCAAGACCTTCAATTCACATAATTTTTTTCAAAATTTTTACATAAATTCACTCTACACCTAAAGTTTATATATTCAAATTTTGATTTTAAACCTCTTTTTCTCCTCATGTTCAAAGCCAAAAATAGCTTCAGCAGCCGTCTTAAGGAGGAAAGCGCGCTCCATTCGATAACGCGTCGCTGGGTCCTTCAAATGGCTTTGATATTTCGACTCTTACTACTTGACTTGCTGCTGTTTACTCTGTTCCTACCTTTTGCATGCATGTGATTGCATGCACGCATGTAATTCATTGTCCTTTACTTGTCTTGTCATCATATTATCATGGTCTCTGAGATCTGCGTCGCACTTTATTTTTTACTTCATGCAGTCTAACTTCAGAAAACAGCGATACTCTTTTTTCATGCAATCAAATTCAGTTTGAGGGATGAGCGGTACTGCTGCCACTCACAAGGAAAGGAAAGTTGGTCGAAGTGGCCTTTTGGAATGAGATGTGTACTGCCTTGTAGAGCTTGGAACGCTGATTCCAAATCTACCTTTGTTATCTGCTGCGGGCTTCTGGGCGAGGAGTTATGAAGGTTTCTGTGGGTAAAAATCTGGATGCAAGGGTAGGCTAAAATCAGTCGAACATTTTTTATAGGGTTTAATTGGTAGTCGGGTCACTCGGTGCAACAAATATTCTTGATTCAAACATACCAATTCGCTGCTGCCTCATTTGAACATTGGGAAAAGGTTACGACTGATTTTATCCTATTTTTGCATTTAGACTTTTACTCATAAAAAGCTTCATAACTCCTCGTCCAAAAGTCCGCAGCAGATAGCGAAGGTAGATTTGGAATCAGCGTTCCAAGCTCTACAAGGCGATATGCAACTCATTTCAAAAGGCCACTTCGACCAACCTTCCTTCCCTTGTCAGTCATTTTCCTAGCACATTCTGCTAGTAATTTTGGTGATGTCGGAGATGAATTTGATGAGGTTGAAACGACAGAGAGCGAAAATAATTTGTCTACGGATCTACAGGTTTGTTTGCCCAAAGTTTAGAACTTCGTTTGTTTTTGATTAGAAGAGAAAGTATTTAATTGCTTTTCAAAGCTGTGTGCTTCCTACTTGGTACTAAAATTTAGCATTTGTCTGTACTTCGGTTGAGATACTGAAAATATAGAACGCTTCATCTGACTTCTACGGAACTTTTAAATTTGGAGACTCTTACGCTTAAGCGCACCATAAATTCGAACAGATGTGCATGATTTACAATATAATTCAAATTCGCTTATAATTTCAAAAAGCCACCAAATTTTAGCAGTGTTTCACCGCGTCGCGTCATTCGGTTAATTTTCAGAGGGATGCATCTGAACTTAGGGCACCGTTGGACTCAGTTAACATGCAGCCGCAGGGACCTTCAACACCGGTGGGTGGGAATTTGTCTGGAAGTTTTCATGTTATGAATTTTCGCTGAAATGTGGTTGCAGTACCACTGTTACCAGTGTCACCTTAGCGGTGTGCCAGTGTTGAATGATAAAGTGGTCTTTGCAGCCTCATCTTCTTTTACGCGATCTTGCCGGTTCTGGCTCATTATCCAGGGAGACCGCGTAAGGAAAATGAAGCTTTTCTGGCGCTGAAGCTCATAATGTACAATATCAGCAGGTGAAAGAAGCCATTAGCTATGGGCATTCGTATTACGCAAAGAGTGCGGACGTATCGGCGTCTCTCTGATCGAACGCTCATTCGTTCCTTTTACCATCTGCTGTCTTTTCAATGCGCGAACTATATTGGCCGGACGCAACGGCGCTCAGTCTTGCGTGTCATGAATGGTGTATACTTCAATATTTGAGTGTTATCGCCGATTCCGCACTTACAGACTTTCTACTACAACAGTAGACCAATGGCGGTAGCTGGTTCACTTTTTGAATCTAGACACTTATGGTGATTACAACTTTCATTGCCGTTGATACTTGTGCATTGAACTTCAGGGTGGACGCTTTGTACGTACATCTACTCGTGCAGTAATGTCGCTGAAAGGGCAGTTTCAGTCGATGCGCGTTTCTAATGATTACTCTAAAAGTAGGTTTTGTCTTCACCTTAGATTATTTAGTGAAAGGGTTGAGTTAGTCCATATCACTTTCAGAGGGGCAGAGCGAAGCTCTGCGTACGTCGGCAACGCCCTCTGAATCGCCTAATTTCTAGACACTTGAGGAAAGCCGCCACTTCCTAGGAGAGTATACGCACCTATTTCACCTTTTCCCTATGGAATCAGAAAAACTTCTCTTAAACGATCTTTCTATTTGTGTCTACTATTATTATTGAACCTGACGGTCTCTTAGCTTAACTTGTTTAATCAATATACCTCTGATACATACTCGACCTCTGCCTTAGATATATATTTTGCCCACTATTTCACACATATATCGATTTTATAGCAAAAATAATAACAGTTTGTTTTTTTAAGAGATTTCTAGCTATATAGACTTTCCTTCCTATCTGCGTTTTTTTTGTGTAAACGTAAAACCCTCTGAGGTGTCATTTCGACATATTCCTCTCCCCATCCCGCGGTACCCCTTCATACCTTTTATCGTTGACTTGTATCATGTGTATGCAAGTTTTATCTGCGTCTATAAGCGCTTTGCACAAAGTCAAATGCGCAGTGTAAATTACTTTCTATATTCTCTTAAAGAAACATTTTTAGATAACATGAATAATAAGTAATGAATATTGTGCTCAGTGCTGAAAACGTAAAGACGAAACGCACTCAGTGGACACCGATTCGATTCAAAAGTTGAGCGATCGAACCAGTAAGCATCGGATTTTCTGACATTAGGAAAGAAACAGACATCAAAAGGTCTTCTGACGAAAAGCGCAGCAGATATTTCTTTACTACAAAAGGGATGAAAATTAAAAGCCATTCGAGCTGTCGTTGTTTGAAGATCACTCAAGACCATAAGAGGTTTGCAAATCTAGTAATGCAAAGCTAAATACCCTAAAACCTCGCAGATAAGTCCTCCCATCAGATGAGTCCGTCTACGGATAAGTCCTCGGGGCTCAGCAGATGTGGCGCTTTCACACGCTCGATGTCGTTTTGAGGGGGAAGTAAAAGAAAATTCGAAACATTTGCGCGTGAAAGTCGAAGTTTAGCCGTTTTTAATTGCTCGAATTCGGCTATCTAAGGCGGTGCTATCGCTTGAAAATCTGAAAATTAGTTGTATGATTACCGAATCTGCATTTAATACAAAACTTCCAAGTTTTTTAGCTAACGTAATAGTTGTTAGTCATCGCGCGGACTTGCCTTTATCGCAGGAATTCATTCGCAAGACACATGCATCACAAGTGCCTACAACCGAGTTCGTATAGCGCAGTGGTTGTGCTTTCTGGTAGGAATCATCAGGTCAAAGCTTCGGTGCACCAGTAGGTACGCAAATTTTGCGAGGTTTGAGAGGCTTCCGCTAGGTTAGTGATTTACTCTAAGCTGTCGCTACCTTAGCGTGTTCTTGTTGTGACGCTTCCGAGGAGGATTACTACAGGCCCAAGAGTGGGTGTGGGAGTGGAGTATTTGAGGATGAGGGTGAGCCTGAGAGGTGCTGTAAGAGTATAGATTACTTGGGCTGAGGATGATGAGTGGAGTGTTAGGGGAATGTTTGCAGGATTAGTAGAGTACTTAAGAGAGTGAGAAGACGGGAATGTGAGGAATTGTGTGGAACTCGAGTACTTGAGGGTGAGGGGGGTTTCAGGAATTGTGAGCATATGAATGGTACGAATTCATTTGCTCACAATGCATATGCCCCTCCCTCCCCTTCCCCTCCCCCCGCGCTTCCCCCCCCCCCCCTAGCTGTCGGTGCAAATTATCTTTAAAATTATCAAGTTACCTCACTCCAGAGATCTCTAATGTGATCTCATTTGTTTTTTGGTTATGAATAGAGTGTTTTTTTTCTTTGATAAGACTTCTTTTTTGGGTAAAGTGTTCACTGCGCAATCACTGGGATCAGTTTTTGGGTCAAAAGGGAATTCGGAATTCGTTTTCGAAAACCCCTTTTGACAACCTCGTGCCGGATTCTGCCCTAGGATTCTTTCTCATAAGAATCCATTTTTTTGAAGAGAAATTTTTTTTGATTTTTGGCTGCAACCTCTACATAAAGTGCGACTATCTTTTGTAGTTATTTTGTAGAGCTTGATCTGTTTCATCGAATGATATCCCAGGTTTACTAGAACAAAAACAGCTTGAATTATTTGAAAAAGGAGTTCACTTTTGGGACAACCTAACACATGCCGAAACTTTCTACCACAATCTAACAGCTATGAACAGCGATATAAGTTGAAGCTGGTTTTACAGAATGATACTTAAAGATGGGAAAAGACGTTAAAGCAAGAAAAAAATTAGCAACTGAACGTGTGCACAATTTTTGGGACACTGTAGTCTGGCGACCTAACGTTATACCACAAATAGAAGGCAGTTTTTGCCGCGTCACGACCTCGCGCCATTCGAAGTATTTTCGCAAATTTTTAGGCCCGCGTATGCGGTATCCGTTTTCAATTTCATTTTTTTGGTATTCATTTTCTCGGTTGTCCTCGGTTTTAATAGTTTTGTGGCGTGATTGCATCAGCTGCTACTCACTAACTAGTTTACGTGTTGTTACGGGATGTTTCGCTTCGCAATTGGCAGAGCATATGTTTTATATAGAAACTACTAATAAGACTATATTTCTTTCCATGTGCTCTCAGGTTGCGCTTTTTTGAATCGCATTTTATACATACGGGTGAAAAAATAAAGATGAAACCAGATGGCCATGAAGTAAATAGAGCGATTTTCGAGAATTTTCGCTCTATTGTGGTGATGAAGGCGCAAAATTCAGACTTTTTTTGACTTATTCATAAAAGTGTGATGTCTCTTGGGCAGGTGCTGTAGGGCAACGCTGACCCCCCACGTAGTATAAATCAGTCGGAATAATTTTCGTTTCTATTTCCCTCGAAGTTTTACCATGTATAAAATTGGTGAAGGGCTTATAGGTGTTGGCGGTGTGTGAAAAGATAGAAAAAATCCTTTCAGCTTTGCAGCTAGCACATATACAGCATTCTCTTGTAAGAAGTATTCTAAAACTGGAAGTGATATGGTAGGTTAGCACATTAAATCAGCACATTTTCTAGACTCAAACTTACAGAATACTGAGAGCTAAAGAATGGAAGCGTTTTGGAAGATTTTAAGCTACACAGATGAGCAGTTGAAAGAGATCTTTGACGTTGTCCCAAAACTAGCTGGACTATTTTAGAGCTGCACATACTCATCGTAGATCACCTTGAGAAAGGGCAGGGCCAGGTTCAAGCGTGGGTATGGTACGCCATCTGGGGGATTGTATAAGGTGTAAAAGGCAAGGGGAGTCGTAATTAAGTAATACTGATGATGGTGATAATATGTTACTCGTGAGCGGTGTTTAGGTAGCCCCATTATGGAAATACAGCACACGAGATATTGACTTGCCATCGTACACCTACACCGTAACATGATGAAGGGACCCTACCAAGCATAATGAGTAATATATCTATAATTGGCATGTCAAATAACTCAAGTTTGGACCAAGTTTGTGCTAATCGTGAAGTCTCCAAATGCTGAACACCTCAGTGAAGTGGTCATTTTCGAACATAATTAACTTTGTTTCAAAAATAAACAACTACCTCTTTTGGAATTCAATACGAAACAATACTCCTTCTTTAACTACCTCAAGGTCAAATATCTCGCTTTAAAGAACCTCTAAGTAGGTATTCGGATCCAAAAATCTTTCTTTTCCCATTTTTCGCTTTTAATGGCTGTACTTTAACCAACTATCACTCACAAGGAAATGGTCAAAATTTGAAGTGGTCAATCTCAGCAAGCCGTATACCGTTGAACACTCCATGGAGGGCTGATTACGTATCCGCCTTCGGTATCTGCTTATCGGTCTTTTATACGAAATTATGGCCATCGATTTCGTCGTTTGCCGCTGAGCGTCATAAACACTCGTCACCCAGCTAGACAAAGCTAGAAGTCAAGCTGGATGCAAAGCGCAGTGGTAGTTGTGCAGAGTCATAGGATGAACCCCGGGTTTTGTTTGTAAGTTCGATTCCCGTTGCTTGATACTCTTTTGCAACCCATTCCCAATATTCGTATTGTTAGCGCAAAGTCCCTGACGCAGTTAAAATGGTAATTTAGATAATTAGATAATGGTAATTCTAAAGACGTCGGAAACTCATATTTTTATTATCCACACTTTCCTAAGAACCGAAAATGATCATGGTGAAAGCAAGAATAAAAATGTTGAGAAATAAAATCGAACAGAGCAAGCAGCAAGAAAGAGGAAGCTGAAACTGCACTCTTGTACTTGTACTCTCAAAATAAAGAAATGAAGGTTTTGTCCTCAAATGTTGAATTATCTCCATGACCGCGTT